CGTGTAACAAAGCCTCGTTAGAACAGCAACAAACCGGCCCGTCACGGTTACCAGTCGGAAGAGAGGGCCCAGAATCAGGACCTCCTACCGCGATAGATCCCGGATAATTGCATCCTGATCGACGAGGTCGCTTCGGGCCATCGGTTCCTCTCGCCGATCTCTCCCTCCTCCGCCCTCTCTCTTTCTATTCCCATCTCCGCTCGGTAATAAATGGACCGTCGGCTCTCTCGTTCATTTTTTGTTTACGAGGATCGAAATTTATACTTCGGCCTGGCGGGGAGCACGGGCCACACCCTGACGATCCCCGGGTGAATCGTAAAGCGGCGGCCCGTTGCACGCGGAGGCCGGACGCGCGACGCGGGAACGTTTTCCTCGGTTTCTCCGAGACGGCTCTGTTATTACGCCTGGACCGCGGGGAAATTAATTCGTTCCGCTCCTGGCCAGGCAGGATTATTGATTATTAAATATGCATCTTCCGCGAAAGGACGCGCGGCGGATGGTAATGGAGCTGATTAAAGACGCGGATTGTCGCCGGATACCTTGCTCCGCGATCTTCGTTGCACGATGGAACGTTCATCGGAGCGATGCTTTACGAGGCGCGAAGTTGAACGTTGATAATGAATATTAAATCGGAATTCATCGATAATTGAGAAATCTTTATCAGGCGTGTCGCGCGGCGTCTCAATGATCCCTTCGGTCGTTTCCTACAGCACGATCAAATTACCACGGTCTTCTCGAAACTGCACGAATTCCCCTCGACACTTCCTCGAGAGCGTGCAGACCACTTGCGAGCGGACAATCGAGGAGGTACAGTTTCGGGCGAAAATTGATCGTATCAGAGCGAGAGAATGGACCGAAAGGTTCGCCAAAGCTCGACAAAGGCGAGCGTCGGTCGTCGGGTACGCCTATAAAGATGCGGTTTCGCCGATACGGAGCCGATCGTAACTCTGTCCCCGAACGCGGCGTGTTCCCGCGTGAATGGAGGAGAGAAAGCGGGTGTCCACGTTTAACAAGTTTGTTAACCGTGGCCCGGGTGCGCGGGTTCGTCGAACCCCGTCGAACCGCGCGTCGCCGTAAAATACGAGCTGTTCTGTGCATCGGCCTGGCCCCGAATCCCGTGAAAATAAACATCGACCTGCGCGCCCGCGAGCGCGGCCGGCTTGCGAAACGCGCCGGTTATATTCGCACGGATATTTATGAAAAACTGCGCCGCTGCCGCCGACGCCGAGCAGCCCGATGGAGAAACGGGCGACGTTTATGGTCGATGAGGCCGACAGACGTTTGGCAGGTCTGCTTTCTCGAGCGCAAAGAACTTCTCCTTTCGGGGCCTCGCTTCGCCTCGCCTCGCCTCGCCTCGCCTCGCCTCGCCTCGCCGCGCCTCGCCGCGCTGACTGCGGCCGCGACTCGACTCGGTTTTCAGGTTCTGCGCGGCCGGGCCGTTATGGTCCTTCTACGGGAGCGGTTTTCACGGAAACAATCGTTGAAAATGCCGAACGTTTACCGTAATTTCAGGGAAACCGCACCGCCTAGGCAGCGGCCAGAACAACTGCGGTGAACAGCCAGTTCACACATTCCGGGTGGATTGGATGGTTCGCGGTTTGGAGAATCGTCCGACGAGCGTGTTAGTTTAAACTTGGAGTTTCTAAGTCGTCGTCGTTCGTTTCAATCCATCGAGTTCTTGAAATTTTCTGATAGTTCCCTTTGACTTCGATCGGCAATTTGTTTGGTATCTTGTTTGTTAGATGTATTTGCTAATTTGGAGGATTGTTATCTTCGCGGCTTGTGTAACTTCTTTATCTATTGTCACAGCTTATCTCAATTTGCGCTTGTCTATATTAAGTGTGTCCATTCTTCAAAGTTCTCGTCTGTCCGTTACTGTCTTCCTCTACTCGGTGTCTTCACTGTATACCCGTTCCTTATACACTTCCAACTCCTTTGACAGAGCGATTCTCAAAAGCTATAATCCAAACAAACGAGAGCACACTCCGAGAGGGCGTCTCCGAAAGAATTCGAGCAATTCCGGCGATAAAGGACGAAGAAAAAAAGACCGTCTCGAAGGGAGGAAGAGAGAGGAATCCCCTATTTCTGGAGCAGGCTCGCCCTCTGACATAATTATAAATATAGAACAGACGGGACGCGCTAAATCGGCCGCCCCGAGTCCAGTCCTTTCCTCCTCGTCGGGTCCATTCCCGAGTCTTCTTTGTAATTCTCCGACGTTCCGAATGTATTTCTTCGCACCGGCAATTTTTCCATTCCCGCGGCATCCCCGGAGCCCGGAGAAACGGCACTCGGATGCGGAAGTCATTCGAAGTAGAAACGGGAGCACAAAAGCGGCCCGTAAACCCCTCCACAATTTTCCTCGGCGAGCTCGTATTTCCGTCGTTCCTTCCGGACAGTCCGACGCAGCCTCTTCCTCCCACTCTCTACTTTCTTCGGGTTTCAGATGTTGTATTATCCTGAAAAAAAGCTCTCCCCCTTCGAGCCGCGCGCTGAAAATTCACCGGCGACGAGCGGAAAATGTGCTACCTCGACGATGGACACGATCTTTCCGCTCCGGCGGTTCAACGGTACACCGAGTTCCGGAGATTTGTCTGACAGATGGCCTGTACGCGCCGCGTTAACTGTAAGGAACAGTGTCAGCGGCTCGACAAAGTCAAACTTTAGATTCCCGGCAGCCTGGATTCGCGGGGAACCCCCGAGACAATGTCTCGCGTTTCAGCAGATGTCTCGGGCTTCTTTCTCGCTGAATTATGGAATCTTTGGCCTCCTCATTTTCATTCTATCCGTCCTATCTACTGACATTAATAATGCATCATTCGGAACAGCGAACCGTCGAAGATTAAGATTAATTCGAAAGCTCGGATCCCCCGAAGTTTAAATACCGATATTAATTACTCCGAAGTCGTGCAATTGTCAAAGTTCCCGAGTATTCGAGCTGAAATGTCAATTTCAAAGCTTAAATCCTCAAAGAGCGAACTCGAAAGATTCTTCGAAATATTAATTTCGAAACTAACAAACTCCCCGAGACACGATCCACGGCGACTGCTCTTCCCGAGCCACCCACCTCTCAATTATTTTCGTTTCTCATCAGCGCGCCGCGTCGCGCTGACAAATTGCCCGGCCGGCGAACCTGCACGGTCGCTCGCAATATCCATCCGCAAACCGCGGGCCTCGTATTTCATAACGCGATACAGCGTGTCGCATCGTTACCGTCGGGTCGATTTTTCTCTTTCCAGTTGCCGATGCCGGAGACGACAATGAGTCACGGCGGCCGACCGCATTGGCCATTCGCGGCAGAAAACGCGCGCCGAGTGCCGTAACCGTGGCCGCGTATGGGTAGACAATTTATTAATTGTCCCGCGCCGGTTTTCCTCCTCCCAGATCTTTTCCACGTGATCCCCTTCCGACGCTCGGGCATCTTTTGCGGCGCCCGATTCGGACCGCCGTTGCGACACCCGTCTGGAATCACTGCCAGAGGAACGGCCCGCTTTCCACTCGCGTGATTTTCCACGCCGAGCGCCGTCAAAACTCGACTAATCTCTTTCAGTTTCACAATGCTGAAACGATCTTGACGCGCGGCTTCGTAAAAATGGACCCGGAGCCTCCCACTTTCGACCAGAGTGAAGATATTCGAACATCAGAGGTTCTTACATTAATTATTCCGATATAAAATTGAGTTTTGCAAGGAATGTTTTAAAAATCGGGATGTGAATTGGATAGATAATGATTGTACATGAAAAAATGAGTTAGAAATGTTTAAAGAAGTTTTTTTCTATCACGCCTAGTTTCCGAGATAATCGCGTTAGAAGATTTGCTCGACGCGCGGCGTTCGTTGAGCGTGTCTGATCATGACACACTGTATCTACTTCTTGCAACGCGTATAAATCACGTAGACCTTCTGACTCGATTATCTCAGGAATTACGTGTCCTATCGAAAAATTGTATTCTACATTTTTCATTCAGTTTTCCATGGAGATTCAGTATATATCAAGTTTTACTCCCATTTCCGTACCGTTTTGTATAAAAATTGATTTTATATCGGAACGATCGATTTCGACACGATAGGCATTTTTGACGACGTGTAGATATTAATTCCTAGTTCTTTGACTCTTTTCGTAATGAAACTCTATATCAGCTACGATGAAACTCCCGTCAGGCGTGTCTTGCCGGTCGGACTTATTAATAGACAGTCTGAGCATTTAATTACGAGATTCGTTACACCGAGAGAAGTTGACGGTAACGTTCGCGGGAAGGCTGCCAAAAAAAGGGACTCTGTAATCAGCTCGAGTTTTGTGCGTGCGCGTATAAATAGGGGCGGAAGGAGGCGCGCCACAGGTCCGCCGGGAATAATCGAGCAACATTAATCGGGCGAAGCGTGAGTCAGCCGGCACTCGCTAGTTTTTCGCGGACACTAAACGGGGAGATTGATACTCCAAGTCGTTCCCCGGAGATTTAAAGCCACTCAGAACGCCGGGTTACACTTAAACGTGGCTTCTGACGTCCTAGCGGCCGGAAGTCTTCAACATTCGTTGGCTAACGCGTAATTATTCATAGCGCCTCTTGAGCAATCGGACTGCCCTTTTTTATAGACCGAACGCTACTTCGAATATCAGCTAAATCTGATTTAATTAATATCACACGCGAGTGAAATATTTCATTCCTCAACTACACATTGTATCTTTATTTCAACTCATCAACCTGTCACCGAACAATCAAACGAAAATAAATGCTCATCCCCAATGTTCAACGATAATTCACCATGCACTACCCTCAGCTAGAGAATTCCAACTAAAAATCTGGAACCAATTAATTACACATCTCCAAAACTCATCTATGCTACGTCCTAAATGCACACAGGTCCGTTTTCCTGAGTCCACGAATAATCTGAGCCGAACGGTGGCAGGATCCCGAAACAGGAATCTGGGTCAGCCACTTAATCGAGGATCTAATCACCGCGAGGGAAAGTTTCGTCGAACAGCTAACAGAAGCTATCGCTTACCCATCGACATGGTCCGATCCGGTCTTCACGGGCCCATTAGCGAACTCGGGCGGCGGGTCGGGCGTGTTCGGGCTCAAAGGCGTAATGGGTCGCCTCGAGTTCTCGCCGAGGATGTCCTCGAAGTCGACGACAGGTGCTGCGCCCCTCACGGACGCCTTCCTGACCAGGGACGGCGAGGAGAGCTTCTGGTGTTTGATCATGTCCGTGGTGGCGCCGTACGAGAACGGCTGGCTGGTCTGTCTCGCGTGGTACGGTATGTCCTCGTCGATATAATCGATATTGCCGGGCGGCGAGAACGAGTCCGCGTGCTTCCTGTACGAGTCGGTCGAGGACTCCGAGATTTTTCGATCCGGCGACACACGGTACTCGTACTCCTCGCGACGGTGCTCGATCTTGCTCGGCTCCCGGTACTCGTTCTTCAGCGTGCTGTAGCTGCTGCTCGTGTTGTACGGGGGGCTGGACTCCTTTCCAGCCCCGTAGCTCCTGTAAGAGTCCTTCAGCGTGGAATACGTCGACGGGGAGTTACTCGCGTGGCTGCTGTAGCTGCGAGTCTCCTGGATGTACATCTTCTCGCTTCTGTCGGCTCGGTAGTCCTCTGACGGAGGGTCTGGCATCGACTGTTGGCACAAGGTATTGTTTGCTGTTTGGCCCTTGCGTGTTTTTGCGAGTGGGAAGAGATTCTGGACGTTTCTGGTTTGGTTGGGAAGTTTGGACGAAGTGGAGATGCGAGGAGGATTCAATTGGTAGTGTCTTTTTTGGGGATGAAGATCAGTGGAACATCTGTTACATAAAGATAGTATTACCTCCTGGTTAGTTAGCATTGTTAGGTGTTTGGTCCTTGGGTGTTTTTACGAGTGTAGTGGGAAGAGTTTCTGGAAGTTTCTGGTTTGATTTCGAAGTTTGGACAGATGCGAGGAGGATTCAATTGGTAGTGTCTTTTTTTAGGATGAAGATAGCGGTACCTCTTGGTTAGTATTGTTAGGTGTTTGGTCTTTGAGTATTGCCTGTTTTCGTAAATGTATTATTAGTGAAATGTGGCAGTTTGGAAGAAGAGATGCGAGTATGATATATTTTCGAGAATGAAAGATCACAGAAAAGTGTACTATATTCTGAAGGTAGGATTAGATACTAGATATTAAATCGACGTCGTCTAACTATAGGCACTACTCGAGTAGACAAGACCGAAACGAAGGTTCCAAGTAAAGATTAACCTTATCGTATAAGTAACTACTCAAGTAGACGCGGTCCGAGTTCAAGTTCCAGGTAAAGATAGATTATCAAGGTCTCGCGTTGCGAACGAAAGGAATGTCCGCTTATTGATTCGGTCGGAATAGCGGTGTGCCCGATAAGATTGTCCGTAGCGAAACGAGAGCATACCTCGACAGTGAGCATCATATCATGGAGGAGTTTATCAAGATCACCATGAGCCTGGTTATCCGGCTCCGGCTCCGGTGGGCTAGGTCGCTGCGGTGGAGCGCTGCTGATGCCACTGTCCATGGAAACTGTCAATGGTGAGCCGCGGGCACCACCGGCAGCACCCTGGTGAACCACAGCGTACAAGGATCCATCTATGGGACCGCAAGTGTAACCCAATCCACGAGGCGACGTCTGAACCGAGGAACTCGAAGGTGGTGGCGGCGATAATGGTGTTTCCCGTCCTTCTGAAAAATTTCAACGTCGGATTAGATTCCCTATTTAACTACTCTCAACTATTATCGAGTAACCCATGATCAAAATGACTCGGAACATTTGTACTTTTAAATCATCCATAGTCTAGTTTTCACTTGTACAATAATACAATCAAATATGTCGAATTAGATTCCCTGTTTAACTACTCTCAACTATTATCAACTAACCCATGATCAAAATGACTCGGAACATTGGTATTTTTAAATCATCCATAGTCTATTTTTCACTTGTACCCAATAATACAATCAAATATGTGGAATTAGATTCCCTATTTAACTACTCTCAACTATTATCGAGTAACCCATGATCAAAATGACTCGGAACATTGGTACTTTTAAATCATCCATAGTCTAGTTTTCACTTCTACCCAATAATACAATCGAATATGTATTTAACCCCTTGGCCTATGATTTCTTTCTCAACTCTGATACGGCTATTTTGTCATTAATAATTTATTGGAAAAAGAGAAAAATTCTAATCATATGTTATACCTATATTTCCTTTTAAGTATAATAGTTGATTATAGAGGAATAATATGTACATCGAATTCGAATGAACCGAGTACTATATATTTATTGAATCGTGTTGAAAATCTTCACCACGAGTCTCACTCGTTGTTGTAGGCCAAGGGGTTAACAAGCTTCGCAGCTCTTAAAATGTCCGAATCCCTAATCGTAAATCTTATTTCCCAATTCCGAAGTTCCAGAGTCTCTTCTTCTTCAACAATACAAATCCTGTTTATAAAAGGGTACACAGCTACCGAAGTGGTCATTCATCCGATAATTAACGAATCTCTCTATCCACGACCCAAACAACACCGACTTTTTCCCAATCGAGCGCGCCGACACCCAAGGAAAGTTAGTTCGAGGCGTTAGCTCGTGCAATTTCCCGGAGCATCATCGAACAAAGAGTCTCGTTAGCGGCGAACAATCGGTAGTAAATCGTTGATCGACGAAGCTCCGCGGACTAATTCCGGCCGGGCGGGTTAAGAACCGTCCGGATCCATGGATCGCAGTTCCTTCGTCGTCCCGAAGCAATTTAACGCTAATCCGCGCGGCCGTGTCACGGCTGAATAATTCACGTGCACGTGGCTCGCGCAATCTTCGCGGCGAATTGTCCGCGCGCGCCGGACCCGAAGAAAGTCGGAGAGTTCACGGGGTCGGCGCGGGATCTCGCTGGGACTCGCCTCGATCTCCAGAAATCCGCGTCACGTAAGGCGCGCGGCGGTTCGAGGAACGGCCCTTTCCTCGACCGCTAAAATATATCTTCCCGGCGTTCGTGATGGAATTGCCGAATGGGAGCCGGCGCGAACGGAGAAAAATGTCTCACGATTGTCATCCCGGTGACGACTTATCGCGGAGCGACCCGCGGAATAATCGATCGAACTCCGCGCCGCACTTTCGAGCTCCAATGAATTGAAAATGAAGGCGGAGAGAGAGCTCGGCAGTCTCACTCCGGGAGATCGATCTTCCATTGTTCGAAAGGGAAACCGTTTCGATGGATCCATGGATTCGGAATTGCAGATGCGCCGGGAAAAGCGAGAAGCAGAAATCCGATTCGCCGCCATGACGAATGTTACACACGCTATCGCTAAGCTTTTATTTCAAGCGAATATTTCGTTGGGAATATTCCATGCGCATTCAATACACTTCTTGAATATTCAGGACGGAACACCTCGAATCAAATGTTCGCGGTGTTTAAATTGTCCGATTCACCTGGAACGGATTCACCGGAATCCCACGGCGACCAGAATTAAACGAATCGCGCGTCCATCTGAACGGAATATCCGCTCGGATTGAAGATTCTCTCGAAACTGAATGGCACACGTTCAGGGCAACGTGTCGTTTAATAGAGTTTCTTACGTGACCGACGGGGGCGATGGAAAAAATGAGATCCGCGAGAGAAAGAGGGCAAAAACAGTCTGCGGTGGAAAGTGCACACCGGCGGAGTGTGCTTTAAAGCTCGCCGGCACTCGTGGACACGCCATTAGCCTCGAGTAGACGGTCGCCCGGCGCTTTCCTCGCTCGATGAGAACCTCCTTTATGCGGGACCGTATCTCGCGGACGTTCACGCGAGCTGCGCGCGGAGTTTTTGTTTGAAAATTCGCCGCGCGAGCGCGCCGGCCGTCTCGCGGACGGTCGTCCTTTTTCCGCCGGCGGAATAACGAGAGCCGCGAAGGTGGTTTCTTTTATCGGGCCCAGCCGCGGGACAGCTCCTCTCTCGTGCCTTTTTTTGGTAGCGGAGAGACCGCGGCGTGGGCTCGCGGCGCACGGCGATTAAGAATTCAAATTACCCGCCGGTTTAAGATTCCAAGGCGCTGGGGCTCCGCTTCGCCTTCGTCGGATTATTCATGGGAGATGTTTGCTTCCATTATGCGAGAAGCGTCTTGACAGAATCAATGAAACCGTCCGCCGGGAACTCCGAGATGAATACAGATTTTAATAACACTTATTTAAATTTTTCATTTAACATCCACTCCGCGGACACCGGGAAGCGAGGTCGTTCTTTTTCAGTGATTACGGGACGTTAAGCTTTCGGGACGCCTATAAACCTCGGAATAACGCAATTCGTAGTCGAACAGGGTCGTTAAATTCTTTCGGAGATTGAAATCAAGTGTCCGATCGGGGGACATCCGTTTCTACTTCGTTCACTTCGATTTATTAAACGAACAGACCGAGAGTTTCGTGTTAATCCGTTGGTTGTATGATTTACCTCGCGACTATGCCTGTTGGATTTGCATTACCGTTAACAGGTTACGAAATCCGAAAGCAATTTTCAATGATACGTAAATAATCTTTCATCTTTGTCTACCTGCAAATGAAACTGATTATTATCACACTAGTCGAGAATCGTTACATCCTCTCAGACGTCATCAGAATATTAGACTAAACCTTTGCACTCGAGAGGTGACTCTCAGTCACCACATTTGACACGGTAAAACTATAGAATGTGATATTTAACGTTAAACTTTGTATAATGCCTCGACACGTGAAACACTGAAATAAAATAGCTTTGTTCAATGTACTGGTGATTTCGAATTAGTCTCAAACATCGTCTTCGCCTCATAAAGAAATGTTAAATATTTCTAGTAAGAAACATCCGAGTGCAAAGGGTCAACACTCTGGCAACCGTTTCAAGCGAAGATATCGAAACGTCCCAACATCCCCCGACAATTTCAAGCCTCGATCGTCAGACTAGAATGCAGAAGAGTGCAGCCAACAGATTCCAGGCGTCGATACAATTTCCAGGTCACCCTATACAGCACCGTCGAAGAACCGCAGCAGAATTGAATCCGCTATCTGCGGAGCGCATCGCGGCAGGTATAAATCATTTTTATTCAAGCGTTCCTCGATTACACGCGTACGGGGCCGGCAGCGGCGGCGGCGGAATCTACACTCCGTCAATGACGGCTAATCTCGACGCGCTAGCCGCGGCAGATGGAACGCATTTAACACCCGCGCGGCGAACGCATTGGAAACACGGCCCGGTCTGTTGGCCCCGGCCGATCGAGATCGGCAGATTGCAGCGGCCGCAGCCTCCTTTAAATGAAGAGAGAATCTAAATGGCACCGGGTATCGTGGCCGTCGAACGTGAGACCCTAACGACGCAGTAAATCCCGGGAATATTTACAGAACACGATAACCGAGGAGCTGCCATGGCTACGATATCGTTATCGCGGGCGTGACTTCGATCGAGGAATGAATGAGCCTCTCACCTGGCTCTCATTTCTGCGAACGAGAACGTCAACGATGGAAGGAACGTCGATTAAGTGGCGGTAATGGCTGCCGAATGACATTCCTCGCGAATATCGAGGCTGACCTGAATCCGACGTTTGGACATGTTCGAGGGTGTTCGGTAATGTTTGCCAACTGTCGCCGATAAATAGATTGTTTCTTTTTCTGAATTCAACAGTGTCACGTTTGGAATTTATTAACCCCTTGCACTCGGGAGGTGACTCTCCACCACTTGGCTTGATACAGTAACATTATAAAGGTTCATGCTTAATACTGAACTGTGTATAACGCATAGTTTGTGAAATATCGAAGTAAATTACTTTGTCTCTTAAACCTAATCACGAGATCAAAGAATTCTACGTTATTAACCCTTTGCACTCGGAAGTTTTTAGCTAGAAATATTCGACGCTCTTTGATGAAATATAGACGATGCTTGCTGCGACTAATGCAAATAATTTCATCGATAAATTAAGAGACAAAGTAATTTACTTAATTTATCGATTAAATTACTTATATTAGTCGCAGCAAGCATCGTCTATATTTTATCAAAGAGCTTTGAATATTTCTAGCAAAAAACTTGTGCAAAGGGTTAATAGCGTAGGATTCTTTGATCTCGTAATTAGGTTTACCGTTTTGTCAATAGGTTCGTGTAGGTAATATCATTAGAGGTTCGGTAATTTAGGGCAGTGATTGGTAAGGCTCGTTTTTTTAAATGAAAATGGAATATGGTGGTCGAACTGGATTGAATACCACCCACAAAGGGACCACCACGGATTTCTTCGAAGAAGGATATTCGCTCGAAGGCTGAATTTGGAGTAATGAGGGGGCTCCACGGAGATGTTGACTGTAAATAGTGCCTTAAGGCAAGATGGCGCCCGAGTTGCGTGTTTCGGGAGGTCCATTAAGCCTGCCAAAAGCCTTTACGCTAAAGCGCCGGTTAAATCGTTACGTCGGAAGTATCACGCGGCAGTTTAAACTGTTACTCAAATTGCCGGCGAAACATAAGGACCGCGTTAATATTAATTTTAACGAGCTACGATGATTTTTTATGGTCGAAGCCGACATTCGCCCACTGAACTTAGAAGAAACTGTTACATGGACCACTTTCGTTTCCTAACTGAAAGTCCTCCTCGTCAATTATTTAGATTAAGTCTATACTAGTATTCACTTAATATCATAACACATTATTAATGTTCTATTATTATATTCTACTAACGTTTCCCTTCTTAAAACTAAAA